GAACTCCATACTGTTCTCCACAGCAGCTGCACCAGTCTGCATTCCCACCAGCAGTGCACGAGGGTTCCTTTTTCTCCGCATCCTCGCCAGCACTTGTCATTTGCTGATTTGTTGATGATAGCCATTTTGACAGGTGTGAGATGGCACCTCATTGTCATTTTAATTTGCATCTTTCGGATGACTAGTGACTTTAAGCATGTTTTTCATATGTCTCATGGCCTTCTGTATGTCCTCTTTCAAAAAGTGTCTATATTGGTCCTTTGCCCATTTTTTTTGATTCCATTGTTTATCTTCCTTTTGTTAAGTTTAATGAGTTCCCTATAAATTTTGGAGATGAAAACTTTCTCAGAAATAACATTGGTAAATATGTTCTCTCATGCAGTGGGCTCTCTTACAGTTTTGTTGCTAACCTTGGAGTAAATTATTACATAGTTGTAGGTAACTGGTATACTAGTACATGGTATTTGGGGTGTTCATTTGGAGGGGGAGATGGTTGGTGTTTCCTATACATAATATTATGAAATTAGCCTTGGGATATTTGGCGTTTCCAATGCTTAATTAAACTCTTTGCCTGGGTCCCTCTTACTAACCTTACAGGACTCACATTAGATCATTTCTTTTTTCTCTTTGTTTTTGCTTAAGCCCTTCGCCTTTTTTCCCGCCCCCCCAGGCTCCCCACACCCTCCCCTCTGACAGCTGTCAGTCTGTTCTCTGTACCAATGAGTCTGTTTCTCATCTGTGTTTTAGTTTATTTTGTTCATTAGATTCCACACATAAGTGGAATCATATGGTATTTGTCTTTCTCTCCCTGGCTTATTTCACTTAGCATAATAATGATGGTAATGATGACATTTTTCATATCCTTTTCTATCAGCAGTTGCTGCAGGTTCCTCCAAGTGACTCCGTATCTTTGAAAATAATCTTTGAAAATAATCCATTTAGGTCTAACTCAGTTAAGAGTATTAGAGAAGGGAATACTCTGGGCCAATTGTCCACAGCACTGCTTGGTCAGGAGGGCTCAAAAGTAAACAGTGAAATAAAGGCACCAAAAATATACCCTGTCGTCAGGAAATTGGCAGAACCAGACAAATGTGTGATAGATGCTATTATTCTTTCTCTCACTTAAGATGTCTTTGAGAAACCCAAATATGAGTTGCTTGTTGAAACTAAGGCTTAAAACATTCCCAAATCCAAAATACTTGTTTTTACCAAATATTCATTAAAAATTAGAACCAGTGGAATTTCTTAGTGCATAAAAATACACACACAGAGTACTAGCTTATAAAAACATTGCACCAAAACAGTATACACATGGCCATTAGGACATGAAAACAATTTTATGTAATTGATAAAATCAGAAGGAATTTTGAAGCAAAATTTATTTTGACTCAATAATGATCGAGTTTCTGATGCTCTTTACAGACTTGGAACACTTTTCCTGATAGATAACAAGTCTTCCCACATATGTACATTTAAGATACATTTAAGATGAGTTTTCTAAGAACATACATGCTTAAGAGGCATAATATGGAGTTGATGAGGGAGATCTTAATTTGCATACTTCCTGCCTTAAATGCCTGAACAATCTTGGGTATAATGTTGCATGAATAAGGCATTTAGTGTTTAATGTGATATGACTTAAACACTCTTTTTGCCAGAGTCTATAAAACCTTCGCTATTTGGGGCTGTTAGTTCTCATTTTTATCTACCAAACTCACTGAGGAAGGAAAATACGTGGAGGCTTCCACTGGTCAGCTCCAATCTTTTCCATTGGCTGGTCATAAAATCTCCTACTCTTACACCCGGGATGGTCCCTTTGGAAAGGGACACTTGGTGATCCATCCTGAACAAGGGCAGGGGCTTCTACTTGTCCACCTGCCTCTTTCACTGGCCTCCCATCCTTCCAACAGCCCTGTTGAGGTCCATGGGGGAATAATCCAGAGCCATAGGAGATGCTGAACCTGAGACACTGGCAAAGCCACATCTTGCCTGATTTTGCACAGCGAGGAGTATTACAACCTCACCATAACACACCTCACCATGACACCATACATGAAGCCTAAAATGTTTCACCGGGAAAACACAGATTGGCATTATTTCAAGGTTTGTCAAATAACCAGGAAAAAACTATGCAGCTGACTGACGGACCTTCCTGGGCTCTGGCTGCTGGTGCAAATCTGCCTTCTTCCCAGCTGTGCTTCAGCACCAGGCGCTGTCCATTTATGCAGAAATCCTCATGGGGAGGATTCCAGGGCTGGTTGGGCATCATGACAAGCAGGGAAGAGTCTAGAACTCTCCCAGCTGGGAGAATACTAGGAATATGGACACTCCACTTCCAAGACAGGTGTCTGACCATTGCCTCCCCTGTCCTACTCCTCCCTCAACATCTCTTCCCCACTGTGGAGCTGAAAATCGTATCTGAGAAACCCAACACTGACTGAGAATGGGGCTGCATGGAGAATGGTCCCGACTTCTGATGTGTCAGGTTCAAACCATGGAGCTTTACTGCACTTTTAGAGCCAGATATAAAAGTCAGATCCCCTGATTCCTAGAGGAAAGTCTTTGCGGGCTCATTCCAGAATTACCATTGTCTCCACCTCCATTGTTATTCCAGGCTCAGAGGGGGTCAGACACGCCTCTGTCTCCCGCAGAGCTCTTACCCAGCAACTTCCCCTGAAAGCCAGGTCCCTTCCCACTGTTCCGGACATGGGCTTGTCCCTGTGCACACGACTGAGAGGAGGTGGGAGAGTGGTGCGGGGCACATCGCATTGTTCTTTCAACTTTTCACAGCTTTTATGTTTGAAATTCGTACTTAACACAGCTCCTAAGTTCTGCCCACATCTCTCGCAAGCCACCTACCTGTTTATTCACTATCTCGACTTCACACATCTTATGTGTTTCATCCATTCTGTTTGCTTTTTCCAACTCTGTAGCAGAATTGAATATTCTTAGATCCCACAGCAAACACATAAACAGACAGACCTATGGGGGAACAATAAGATAACACACACACACACACACACACACACACACACACACACACACACAGAAAACATTGTAGTGACAGAAGAAATGAAAACCAAAACAGAGAGTAGCTGAGTTGCAGCATTTGAGGGAATTTTGAGCAGAACGTGGTGGGTGCCTCCTGCTGAGGTGTGCCAGGCCCTGGAGCAGCACCATCTTCAGTATGGACAACCCATGCCCCCTTCAGAGGAACTTATAGAGTCCTTCTTTAAGGTTCCTTTAAAATTAAAAATGAAGCTAATATCTCAAAGCCAATTACATCAAAGCAATCATATTACTGAATGCAGTTTTTCAAATGGCATGTGGCCCAGCCTCCTGCTCACTTCCTCTCCCAGGAGGGCCCTTGCCCGGCTCCCAAAGGGAAATGGAATCTCAGGCTGTTAGGAAAGGAAAAGCCACTCTTGTGACTCATTAAATACTTGAAAGTATATGTTTTTAAAATTTTATTTTTCAGTTATAGGTGAATATCGAGAGGGAGGGGGGATCACTTTATAAAGTATATGATTAAAATTGTATCTTTATTGTGTGTTTTTCTGATTACGAAGTAGTACATTTATTATAAAAATTCAATGTAAATTGCTATAAGGGAAGTTCCCAAAGGGCACATGGAAGCAATGACATTAAGATAAACTGCTTCCTGTAGCCAGACAGTGAGGTTTTCTGTCAGCCAAGGCAAAAAGGGAACACTGGCTTACAGGGTGTTTATCCAAACTAGGATTCCCAGGTAAAATATAGGACACCCAGTTCAATTTGAATTTCTGAAATATAAGTATATCCCAAACACTTCATGGGATATACTTACACTAAAAATTATTCCTTTGTGTACCTGAAATTAAAATTTTTGCATAAAAAATTCACTTTTAATTGTGCTAACATACACATAACATCAAACTATTTTTAACAAATTTTAAATATACATTGTATATTTACATTGCCATGGGACCAAACTCTAGAACTCTTTCATCTTACAAAACTAACCCTTTACTGACAAAACATCAACTCCCATTTCCCCTCTGGCACTCATCTTCCTACTTCCTGTTTCTATGAGTTTGACAACTCTAAAAACCTCACACAAGTGGAATCATATCTATCTTTCTGTGAAACTGGCTTATCTCATTAAGCATAATGTCCTTGAGCTTCGTCCATGTTGCCACATGTGTCAGAACTTCCTTTTTTAAGGCTGAATAGTATTGCATTGTGTGTATACACCACATTGTGTTTCTTGAAACCCAAATTTAACAGGACATTATGTGCTACATCTGGCAACCCTGTTCTGACAACATCAGTCTAGATGAGCTTTCTCTAGAAATTAGAGCAGAGGAGTGTTCATTCTCAAGGACATGTGTTACAGAAACACGAAGGGGACACATCCAGGAGCATTCTCCTCTCCAAGTTTGCACAAGCCATGGAGCTGTGGTCAGTGAGTCCTAATTCTGTCAGCACTGTGTCAGGAGTCCTTGAACTCATGGAGCACGTTGAGCACACATGGGAAGGAGCCATAATTAGATTCTCAAAAGTGTCAGACACCCCTAAGGAGGGCAGGAGGCACCCTCTTCTTGACTGAGGGCATAGCTTTGAACTCAAGAAGGCATTTTTGCTGGGGGCTTGGGTCTTAGTACTTTCCAGGCAATCGATTTCCTGAATATCTAAACTCAAATACAGAGAAAATCTCGGCAAGTTTGAAAGAGTGGGAAGTTTACCCATCTGCTGAAATATCCCTTTCAAGTGAGGATGAGCCTATGCTGCCATGCCCTCCGCATCTTTCACAGCCGTCGAAGGGGAGCGAGTTCAGGAGGGACGCACATCTTTGTGAATGTCCTGATGACGGTTAAAGTTAAGAGGCCTTAAATGCCAAAGTTCCTTAAGGAGAGAGAGGAGATTAAGAGACAGAGAGCAATGCCTCGGCAGTGAATAACCTTACTACTTGTAGAAAACAAATGACCATTTTGATGATCACCTCTTTATTTTTTCTTTAGAAATCCTTCTTCAACTTACCAACAGCACTTACCGATGAGCTTGACTGGCCCCAACTTTCTGGTGCTACTGGATTTCTGAACGCCACTAGTGGGTATGTACGTTTAGAAACCTTCAAAGGTTTCAGTGTATCTTTGTGAAAACAGGGCTTTTTCTAAGATGTGAATTATTAGGAATGACTTCTAGAGCACAAATGACACACAACAAACCCGCCCCTGACGTAGTCCACCACCCAGTGGGATGCAATATGAATTCTATTTATCAGTGCAGGCCAGAAGAGAGTATTCCCAGTGAGGGGGCTGTAAAGTTGACCTCTGATGGAGAATATTCAACACCTGGCTAAAGTTTTCTGAGTCAAGGGACCAAGAAGTTTACTTGATTATTTCCATGCAGAAATTAATATTCATAAAGTTAATAGGCAGGTCTCAAGGTCCTGGATTCATGCTGGTGGTAATGCTCTAGATATGAAGGCAGAGACCATGCGTGGACAGTCTGAGAGGCACGGACCACTTTGCTGTGTGCGATTGGGTGTTGATTCGGGGCCTGGGAACAGCCATTCATTGCATCTTGTGAATAATTTATTTGACTATATCTTCACTCATTTATTTTAAAAATAGTTAAGTACTTGCTACCTAATAGGGCACAGATGGTATAAATGCCTTAAAGTTTAATAAGGCTTGTCCCATCTCTATAGTAAAATCTCATTCAAGTAGGGCAGATGAGATAAAATATAAGTAACAAAAATACCAGATAAATGTGCCAAAACACTATTCTATGGATCTTTACATCCTTCGACACTTTGACAGAGTCTGTTCTCTTGACTCTCTGGTTTCAGAGAATTCAAAAAGTAATAACCCTTAAAATCATGTGTTTTGCTTTGTTTTTCTCCCAATGTGATTCAGAAAGCAATTGAGTTGTTCTAAGATAAAAAGAAAAAACCCTATATGCGGTGGTTAGCCTGGGGGCAAGAAACCTGACATTAGGAAGGAAATGATGAGAAGCCGAAAATATATTTTTAAGATTGAAAACAGTGCTTTGTGTTTAGATCGCCTCCAAAAGCAATTAACTCACAGGAAAATCCTATTTAAGTTAAAGAAGCCACGGCCCAGAAGAATAGAAAACAATACCCAAACTTCAGGAAGAGAGGGCTTCTCCTTTAAAAGCCATATCTACCATCCCCGGAGTCCGTGTGGCCGATTAGGAGATAAACTGCACGTACAGGTACAGGGGTCCGGTCTGTGTGGCCTTAGGTGGGACATTGAGCGTCCCTGGGCCTCGTGGACATGATGCAGTTGAGTTGACATTCTCTCCAATGTGCAAGCTTAGCGCTTGTAGGACCACATGATGTTCAAGTCCGCATCCTACCTCAGGGCGCTGCTTGCTTTAGAAGTGTTGGAGGAAACTCCTGCCAAGAGAGGTCTTGCTTCTTCCCAGCAAATATGCTTTTCCCCACCATTAGCTGGCTGTACCTGAGACCATACATGCCCGTTTTATGGGTCGGAGCTAGAAAAGTGCTAGGAGCCATGTCTCCTTAGGGCCTGGTTACTGTGCTCTGAGAGCCGAGCTCATGCCTGGTAAGCCCTGCCTTGTGGGATATTGGGTGCTTGACCAGTTATTCATTACAGTGGTATTCCGTTAACGTCCTACATGTGCACTGTTTCCTCCAAACAAACTCCAGAGAGGGAGACAGGTGACTCCAGATCCTTAAAAAATAACCGTGTTTGTGGCTGCCCAAATCACCTCCTTCTGAAAGTGGGGCCAGGAGTTGGTCCAGTCAGTGGAGTTCTACAAGCCAGGGCTAAATGACAAAGAGGTTCCTTAAATGTGGGGAGCAGAGGGGGCTGGGAGGAAAAATAGGGCAACACTCGTAGATCAAGGAAGGAAGGAAGGGAGGGAGGGAGGGAGGGAGGGAGGGAGGGAGGGAGGGAGGGAGGGAGGGAAGGAGAAAGAAGCTGATGTTACCCGTAAGAAGTTATAAAAGCTAAAACAACCAAAAGCAATTACCAAGTTACCATATCCAGCTGGAGAGCCTAGAGTGCGAGCAGAGAGTCCACATAAGTGGGTGTGAATTAGATGGAATTGTCTAGAGTACAATTGGCTCCCTCTATCTCTGGATTAAATTGCTATCTGGGGCCAGAGACATAGCTAACGCCTGGAAGGAAATGGACAAAGACATTGTCACCAGTGGCACGGCAATGCCATTCAAGGACATTCACACACATCTTTGATGAAAGGTGTCCTAGAATCTGACAGTTAAAGGTTACCTATTCTCTCTGACCCAATAGGCATTATATGAGAGAACAGTTTTGAAAGCAGCGTGCAACTGCAAACCAGACACTTGGGGCATTAAACATAGAAAATGGGAGAGAAGGGATTTGCCGCTAAGATTTGCTAACCTAATTTCATGGGGTTTTTTAAAAAAGACATGTAAGTACTAAACACTAATGAGCTTAATAACCTTATTAAATCCATTATTCAAAAATTACATGTGCTATAATTGCCCATGATTAGCTGTCCTATAATTATACTTTGCCAAACAAATAATTAGCATTGGCCTTTTGCAGGTGGGTGAGGCTGATTGGAGAGGATAGAGTCTGCATCAGTGATTCTCCAAGTGTGGTCCAGGGACCCCTGGGGGTGTCTCAGGGGGTCCACAAGGTGGAAACTATTCTCACAACAATATTAAGACAGTATTTGCCTTTTGCACTGCACAGCCATCTGTACCAAAGGTGCAAAAGCAATGGCGGGCAAAACCGCTGCCCTCTGTGCATGAGTCAAAGCAGTGGCACCCAACTGCATTCGGAGTCCTGTGGTCTCCATCTGCACACACTGGTTTAATAGGGGGAGATCCTCCCTTCAGAACATTGCCTATGAAGCAGAAAGAAGTCACTAATTCTGTTAAAGTAAGCACAGGACTTATTAATAATCTCATCGCATGAGCCCTAGCTGGTTTGGCTCAATGAATAGAACATCCGCCTGCAGACTAAAGGGTCCCAGGTTCGATTTTGATCAGGGGTACGTACCTTAGTTGCAGGCTTCATCCCCAGTAGGGGGGGTGCAGGAGGCAGCTGATCTATGTTTCTCTCTCATCGATGTTTCTCTCTCTCTCCCTCTGTAAAATCTATTATATATATATATATATATATATATATATATATATATATATATATATATAATAGATAATAGATTATGTGTGTATATGTGTATATATAATAGATTATGTGTGTATATGTATATATGTATATATGTGTATATATATGTATGTGTGTGTGTGTGTGTGTGTGTGTATATATATATATATATATATATTAAAATCTCATCTCATGAAATGAGAAGGATGCATGAAGCACTTTTGCTACAAATAAAACATGATGGTTGTCTTAAGGTCAAGCACCTGCATGCTGACTTGAGAGCAGAATCAATAAGTTTTCTATGGAACACCCTTTTTATTGGAGAAAATAAAAAGAAAAAAAAACTTGGAAAGCAAACTATGGTTACCCAGTCTTGGATACAGCAGATATTTTATCCGAAATGAATCAGATGAACGTGTCACTTCAAGGAAAACAAATAACAGCATTGACTGCTAATCAGCACAATATGAGCTTTCAAAGAAAAATGTGAAATTTGAAAACTTGGCTTTTCCATGGCCGTGACAGCTTCCATGGATGCGAAGGCCTTGCCATGAGGCAGGCGGTGCTGGCAACTAGGGTGGGTTTAACGTCGTGTCATAAATGCATCAGCACCTGGCGTGCCCTCCTCACTCAGTGACCATCGTCTCTACATGACCCGTGGGTGATGCATAGGATCCTGCACGAGAAAACCCGCTCAGAGCACTGGCAGGCCAAGGCATTTCCATGCCACCAGGGGCAAGAGTTCACGGATGTAACTTCCGGTTCCACAAGACAGCCCATCGGTCTCTAAGGAGCTGCCATTTGTCAAGTTTTGGTATAAAATCCGAGAAGCTTACCCAAAGTTACAGAAAAGGGACATTAAAATGCCATCCCCTCTCCCCACCGCGTGTGTGTGTGAGACCAGGTTTCCTTCCTGTGTTCCCACCAAAACAACACGTCCCGGCAGACGGAGTCCAAGGCAGAGGGGAGCACCCAGCGGGCTCTGATCAGACGGACATTGGGGAATTGAAAATGGTAAAGCGATCCCAACCTTCTCACTCACTGGAGGAATGCATTGGAAAACACATTTTTACAGGGGAAAAATGTTGTTTATATGAACGTGTAATATATCATTATTTTTAAAAATGAAATGTTCTTTTCGTTTTCTAAGTTTTAATTTCTAATATATAAATATTGACAGCTGTAACTCTCAGGAACAGAAGCTCTCTGGTTTCCCAGCCATCTTAAGAGTGAAAAGCAGACTGAGAGCCAAAAGCAGAGAACTTCTGTTCTCAGGGAGTGGGTGGGAAAAAGACATGTGGCTGAGGACAGAGACTGGGGACCCCGCAGGGAGAGGTCCGGGAAGAGAAGATGGGGAAGAACGGCGCTCGCTGGAGAAGGAACGCTCTCTCTGGCCCTGCTGCTGGCCTCCTGAGCCCCTATCGGTTCTTGGCTGGTTCCCTAAGATTCTACTTCATAGCACCTCAGAATTTAACCCAAACTAGCAGTGCCCCTGGTCTCAGAAAGGTCACCAGGACCTAGTACATCACTGTCGCTTGAACAACATCCCATTTGGTATATCCTTACACCTCTGACCTGCTAAGCATTCTGGGAAGCTACTGAATTGCCTCTCTCCAAATAGGATCTGATTTGAGTCAACATAGGAGGAGATCATGTCTTCCCTTCCAAGCCAATCCCTTTACTTTGTCTACGTTACTCTTGAGGCTCATCCTTGAGTTTATTCTTTTTGTTTTGTCTTTCTTTCTATCATGGTGAAATGGAGGGGGAGTGGGATTAGACGTCTCTCTAAGAGAAAGTGGTTTTTTGTGTTACCTGAGCCTGTGATGGGAAAAACAACTATGTCTGAAACTCACCTATTTTAAATTTTATTCTTAAAAAGCAAAATCTGACCTGCAAGCGCTCACATAAAAGACTGTACTTCCTGGGCCCCGCAGTAGATGGAGCTGATAAAATCGAGGATTTATTTATTTTTTGTTTTTTTTTTTAAATCGGGGATTTAGTCAGATATACTAGTACTTGCAATTCCACTCCCTGTGCTAAGGGCACCAGCACCTTTATCATCGGGAGAGGTGTGAGGACGAGAACATTTTATACTCTTCATCGGCACCCCTCGGATTTCAGACTGAAGTGATCACCTCACCTACTAGCCCATGGGACTGGGTTTTGAAGCACAACAGCGGAAAAGGAGAGAAACAAACAAACAAACAAACAAAAAATCAGACTGGGGACCCTGAGTCCAACTGAGGATAGGGGAGCAAGTGGAGGGGGATTCAAAACCAGAAAGGCCTTAGAGTGCATGCAGCTTGCCCTGGATAGAGGTGATGTTCTATTAAGCAAGCTTCTCAATGTGTAGGCATCTGAAAATATTGTTATAAGCTTCTCAAAATATTGTATTGATCCCTCTATCTTCTACGGAGCACTCCCTGACAAATCCAATTCCTAGAATTTATAGGAGAGATTATGTACTTGAGGTGGAGATGAAAGAAAACAGTATCTTTGATTATATGAAATACTTTCTAGTGCCTCCTACAAAACCTTAATCCCAGCATTTTAGATGCTGTTTCTGGTCAGAAATGTTCATTCACCTATGGTAAAGATTTCTATATTCTTGTAATAAGATACAGTGCAACTAACCATATCCATAATTCAACATCCACACTACTTACTCTCCAGGATCAGGGCATGAGCAAAACAATATTTCAGTCCATAAATTTTGTTTTTAGAATTATCAAAAATATAAGTATGGATAAATATTGGTAACAATTATTTTCCCAAAAGAAAATAACCCCTCTTTATTGACCGTGAAATTATTTTAGTATTGAATTCGGGTCTGATGTCCCTTTCCCATCTTTCTTTTTTTTATTTTTTCAAAATAGAATAAAATAAGCAAGGCAGAGGTCATAAACAATGCAGCTTGTAGAGGTCAGGCTTCTGGGTAATAAAGAGAGCAGGAAGAACCAACAGCCACAGCCTGTTGGGAGCCAGAAAGCAGAAGGCCAGTGGTCCCTGCCTCCACCCACTGAGGCACGGACATCCTAAGCTGGTGGGAGGGAAAGGGAAGAAGCAACGTGCTTACATGGCAAGACCTCCAGAATACGTGGGAGTCAGCTATCTATGGTAGTGCCAGAAGCGAGGGTGCGGCTACACATAGGAGGAGGAGTATTGGTTGAAAGGTTGCAGATAGAACCTCAGATTTCTTCCCAACTCCACCGGGGAGAGGGAGGGGGAAGCATGGGGCTAGCAGCCCTCACTGGCTCTGGGATGAGCCTTGGGGTTTCTTCTCTGGAGAGGCTGAGAGGAAGGGCTTCTGGGCTGGGAGACACTGGACACAAGTGGGGAGAGGGACACCCTGGTGAAGCACATGTGTGCTGTAAATCACACGCCTCCCAGCCCGGCTGGAGACAGGAAGGTCCTTTCCTGGGGAATCTGCTCACCTCACGCGGAAAGCCCCCAAAGACAGGGCAGCAGGGCCTCCCTGAGAAAGGCCGGCCAGCCGAGGGGGAGGACCAGAGGAGCAAGGCCCACCCAGGGCCCTGTTTCCAGCCAGCTTTCAGTTCCCGACCAGTTCCCACTTTTACATCTAAGCCAACAAACAACCCAAGACCATAGGTACCTGAGGGAAAGCTTGAATGTGAAAGACAGCAAACAAAGAGAAAAGCAACCTTAAAGAAACAAACTATTGCGTTGTATACTAGGGATTAAAAAACAACAACAAAACAAAAACAAAAAAATGCTAGTTAATATACTACTTATAAAAGAAACTAAAAATTAATATCTTCAAAAAGATGAGGTATTTTAATGAAGTAACAAGAACATGTGCTACATTTAAAGAAACATTCAAAAGAACAAAAAGAGCCTTGGAAATTATATCAGTGGCATGAGATGATTTTCCCAGAAAGAGAACGTTAAGACTATTACCCAGAAAGTAGAGCAAAAGAACCAAGATATGGGAGGTACGGCAGAAAAAAAAAAAAAAGGAAAATTAGAGACCAACCTAGGTGACTCAATATTCAAATAAGGGGGTTCTAAGAAAAAAAGGAAGAAGAAAACAGCGACGAAGTAATCGAAGAACACTCTCAGCCCTGAGTGGCATGAATTTCCAGGCTAAAAGTGTCTCACACTGTGAATGACAATAGAGCCACATCAGCCTGCCTCAGTGACATTACAGAACCCCAACCCCGGGAGCAAGGTGCTGCCCCAGATTCCCAAAGGATCAAGGAGCAGAAAAGCTCTGACAACAGCACCAGGAGGCCAGGCAGTCTGGGGTCCCTTCAGGCATCTGAGGGAAAGTGCTTTTTCCTTAGAGTTCTGTAACCCTCCGCCTGCTTGTCTGTCATTACATAACAAGGCGCTTCCAACGTTGGTGGCTTATACCAACCTTTATTTTTATTACATCTCCTGATCAGATACTTCTGAGTTTAATTACTGTTCATTAGTTTATCTGGTCTTGTTTTATGAAGGAGTTTAGGAAGCCTATAACATTATAGAGAATGTAACATTAAATTTCATTTAAATTAAAGTGTGGCAAAAGAACATAGAAAAATCAAAGATGTGACAAAGAGAAACCAAGAAAATGATTTAGAATAGGTGTAATTATAGCCTGATATTGTCACACATTTGCCTCTAAACTCTGTCCATTGGTATTAGATTTAGCTATAGGTAACAGAGAGACTCAACATAAGGTGGTTTAATTAAGATAATGCATGAGTTTATTTCTCTCAAACAGGAAAGTTCAGGGATTTGCAATCCAGGTCTAGCATGGGAGCTCAAGTTCCCTGCTCCTCAGGATCCACAATCTTTCCAGCTCATCCTTACCTTCCTGGGGTGGAATTTACCCCTACAGTCTAAGATGGCAGCATTCCTATTCCTGGCAGCAGAATGGCTAAGCAGGAAAAAGAAAGCAAAAAAACCTGCCAATTGTGTCCTAAGAAATATCCCCAGAAACTGCTGCTAAAAACATCCACTTCCATCCCATTGCCCAGAACTTAGTGAAGTGACCACTCCTAGCTGCAAAGGAAGCTGGGAAAGCAGGCATCATTACGGGCAGACCTGTGTCCTACGAAAACGTCTGTGAAAATGGACAAAGGGGAGACAAGGGTCTGAAGGACAAGAGTGTCTGCCACAGCTTCATAGCCACCGAGAGAAGAGCGGGAACATGGTCAAGTTTAAAACACAGAAGCGATAAAGACCACCAGTTGTTCGAGAGACATACAGCAGCTTTTGGTAAAAGGGTTACAAAGGTCCTCCTAAGAAAAAAAGTTTGATCTTCCCACATCCATGCAATGTCTATAGGGCTGTTTTCTGTAACCACTTATGCAGCGACGGTTTAGAGAAAAACACAACTATAGAGATGTGGTTTTCTGAATTCACTTTCACCCCACTTTAAAAATCATAATAAAAACATGTGCTTGTATTTCATCATGTGACTGTCCCAACGTTAAGCATACATGTATGTATTTGTTCCAGAATTAAAGAAAACTCTATCTACCTTCGTCTACGGAAAAGAAACCACTGCAATCACCGGGACTACCAGAATATTTCAAAAAACGGTGGGTGGCCACCCTCGGCCTTCGCCTATGTGCGCTGAATGACTGATTTTATTTCCCAAGGACCTCAGCAGCTGAGCATTGGTGACAAGGGCCATGGGGTAAAATGAACGTCTCCCTTTCTGATAGAGGGGCCTGGGGTTAGGGCCTTTCCCTGCAGTGAAAGGAACAAGATGCAGTCGAGATATATACTGAGTGGCCAGATGATGATGACCTCTGAACGCATAATAATCTGGCCATTCAGTGTATATCCTATATAATAAAAAGCTAATGGGCAAATTGTCCCCTTGACTAGGAGTTTGACCAGCAGGAAGGCAGGCCAACTGCCCATCTTCCCTCTCCCTGGCCGGCCTTCCTGTGCTGAGCGGCAGAGGAACAGGTGGTGTGGACACGGGAGAGGCTGACCATGAGGCACGCCGAGGCAGGTTTTCATTTCCTGCCTCAAGCTCCATGGGGGATCTGCACCTCAAATCCCCAGCCATCCTCCAGATAATGAGGAAAATTATTGGCCCGACCTGGTCCTTTAATTTTCCCCACTCATGCCTTGAGCTTTCATTAGTTTTCATATCTCATTAACACACAAATCAGAGTGAGAATTAAACACCTCCTGATTGATGATCTTACTAAAAATGGGAAGCTGAGATCATGGGGCTGTGGGCCCAGCTGAAGAGATGAGGGAGCCATGGTGGGTGCCATGCCAGCCCGCCATGACCACCCTCCGTCTCTTCACTCGTGAGGACATCAGGGAGTGACCCACACCCAGAAACTCTCTGAGTCTCTGCATTTAGGCCTCAACGTGGCACCTTCTCTGAGCAGAGACAGGCTCGAGTCACACTGGGTTTTCCTCTTTTCAACACTGGGGTGAGATTTGCATTAAACCTCACACCAGTTCTCAGTTGTGTGTCTACCCAGAGACGCTCCTGCCCGGGGATAAAGGCCATGTCTGTACACTCCCTCCTTGGGTTCACTCTTTCTAGCCTCCCAGCCTAGAGAGGCAATGCCACTCAGGGAGCCTGAGCTCAGCATTGTGGGCAGAAGGGGCAGGGTTTGGATTGCGGTTCTCCAGATTAATAGCTGTGTGGCTTTGGGCCGCTAACGTGAGCCTCAGTGTTCTCATCTACAAAATGGGGCTCCTCTCAGGCCTGCCTCACACAGTGGTGCTATGGTCTAAATGAACTAATAAGTACAGTGCTTAACAGAGTGTCTGAAATAATATGAGAATTCAATAACCACGACTTTCCTATAAAAGATCTGTTACAGGTAGAAACAGGAATGGAGGAGGGTGGCCATGCATGTCATTACAGGAGTTGAAATATGTCAGCTCTGCAATCTGAACTTACACATCCAAGCCAGCAGGGGGAGCCTCAGGTTCTCTGGAGAGATGGGTAGTTCTCAAAGAATCCTTCCTACTGTTCCTCTCATCCCTCAGCTCATTCCTGAATCTTTGGGGTGGTTTCTCTCTCTGGTGATAGATATATATCCTTTCCTGACATCCACTAGCAAGTTCGGTCATTCACGCTAGAAAATGTCTTGAGACCTGTAAATCCAAAGGATTTGGGGTTATGTCAATAGAATGTCAAGGACGCATAGCCATTAAGGGGAGTCCTAGGGAAACTTCTCAGCACTACAGAATGGATGACCTCTGATTGTTCAGTGATGCTTCTCCCGTGATCGCAGACAATGGCACTCTCATCTGGACAGTGTTGAACTGAGTCCCCTAACTTTAATAATTTTCTTAATTTTACTGATTCAGGTGCATCTTCCCAAAACCTGGAGACATTCCTAGAAAGGTACGTGGAAGAAGTTGTTTTTCATTTTGAAAACTGAATGAGAACTCTGTTGTTATCCATTATCACTTGCACTGGGCATCAGCTAGTCACTCTGCAAACCCTGGGAGATTATTATCCCTTCTCGGGCCAGTGAGCATTGGAAGTGTTCATTTCCATATATCCTTAGAGACAGATCATAAAAATGCATACAAGCTTAGATCTAACCAAAAAAAGACAAAAAGGATTTCATATCCCTGTTTATGAAGGAGAAAACAATTTTGTGCTCATCTGGGGCTTAACATTCAGAATTGGGGCCCTGGGTGCCCAGAATGGAAACTTCGGGCCCACGGGATGTCTTGGGAATCTGGACATAAGTAACCCAGGTAATGCATCTGTGATTATTGACCACAAAGGCTGTGAATGATGCTAAGATGGTAGCGTGCCCCCTGCTGGAGGCTTCACTCCTCAACTTCATGCGTTGATGTGGTCTTTCCCTAACAGAAGATTAAAGCTTATAGAGAAGGATAGTGATACTAAATGGAAGAAAATAGCAAAGTTACCCAGAGGGCGGTCACACAGACTCTTCCACAGGCCCAGCCTGTGACACCAGTTACAGAGCTGGGTTTCCGCATGTTTGACATTCAGCTTCCAGTTTGTCTAGGAACCCACTGTTGGACCACCCGGCCATCGTCATATATGCCATGATTGGAAACGACGTCTGCAATGGGTGAGTTACTACCAAAGAAAGTTTTTGTTTTGTTTTTTAAATTTATTTTTATTGATTCCAAAGAGGAAGAGAGAGGGAGAGAGAGGGAGAAACATCCATGATGAGAGAGAATCATTGATCAGCTGCCTCCTGCACACATCACACTGGGGATGGAGCCCAAAATCCAGGCATGTGCCCTGACTGGGAATCGAACCCTGACTTCCAGATTCATAGGTTGACACTCAACCACTGAGCCAAACCAGCTAGGGCAGTGATAGTGATTCTTGAACAAATATTCACGTTATTTGAATATCCTTAAAATCAAGACGTTGCGATTAGTCAGACTTGAGTTCAAGCCCTGTTTTGTAGGTTGATGCTCAACCACTGAGCAACACCAGCCAGGTGCTAAGAAGGTTTTGAGAATTCTTTGCCTCTGGGTTTCCCCAGTTCCGGCCAATCCTAATGCGCCCATGACCCACAGGAGAAAGCAGTTTTGCTCACCTGCTGATCTCAGTAATGATTTCGGAATGTTGACTGCCTTCGTCCCCCCACGACATTTTGGAAGATTTCTCAGAATCTGTGTGCCCCTGAGGATATGCTGCATATGTGAATGCCATCTGTCCTGAGGTCGTGGCCAGAAGCAGAAAAAGGTGACGCCAGATCTGGAACAACTCCCCAGTAACCACTCACCCTCTGTTTTAGGAAACAGAAAAATAAAGCCCAGGTCACATGATTTGCCTAATTAATTAAGGCCAGTGCCAGACTCCACCCTCAGGAGTGCTTTCCCAAACTTCAAGGTTCAGTGTCCTTCAAGTGTGTTTGCTCTCTCAGACACCTCCATGAGAGCCAAGACCTCTCCCAGTGAGGATGGTGCAGACCTCATGTGTGAGTAAATTCAGGGCAGGAGATGCCACACTGGGATCCAGAATTCTCTGGTGCCAGACCCTGCCTTGCTCCGCCCTTAGGCTGGTTTGCCACTCTCTCAGAACCCAACATCTACCACGTGCTGGGGAACCAGGTCTCAATTCTTTGACAAACCACCTGGGACTCCCCACTAAATAGCAGAGAACCCCAAAACCTTCCATGAGCCCCAGACCCACACCACTGGCTACATCACCTCACCACACAGCAGCCCTAAGAGGCAAGTATGATTGTCCCCATTTCATAGATGAGGAAACTGAGGTTCTGAAAGGTTACCCTCCATGGAGCAATGAGCAGCCACGATGAGAGCCAGCCATGTGCTCTGATGAAGTTCTGTGCCCTTTCCACCGGCCACAAGTGCCTTATTTGCTTTCTCTCACTCATTCACTTGTAGAAGTATGTAGCAAGCACCTGCAATGTGCTGGGCTCTGGGGTCCAGTGGCAAACAGGACTTTCTAAAACTTTCTTTTTCTTTTTTCAATAATGGATATGAAGCAATAAGAAAAGATATAAAATTTCCAGTAACCGTGATAGAACAAGCATTGCTTGAAGAGGAAGGCGGAGAGGCAAAATGGAATGCCCTTTGGCAGGGGGGTCGCCTGAAAGAGCAGCCAATCGGGAAAGTCATGAGAGTTAACTGGAGAGAGATGTTGTAGACACATGATGTGACTTCATTGTTCAGCGTCATTCTGTTTCCCTGCCTGCCATGCAGATGGGAAGTTTCACAGATCAAGTTGTGGACCTTGAAGTGTCAAGCGAATCATAATCAGTCCTGAACTCCTTTGATTCCATGAACTGTGTGTATCAGTTAGGATAGCTGAGGGTATGCTGCAGGAACAAACAGCCCCTAAAATCTTAGGAGAATAAAGCAACAACATGTCAGTCACACTACATGTCCATCAAGAATCATCGTGTGACTCTGTTCCAGGACTCAGATTGGTGTAGTCACTGCTGTCTAGAACATTGCCAAGACCCATGGCAAAGGAAAGGAGCTTTCTAGAGGCTCTGACACCACCAAACATGACATATGTCTCTCCTCACAACTCAGATACCAAACCAGTGCCATGATCAACCCAACCACATGGAATCAGGAAGCCAGAAAATAGCATCAATTACTGCCTCATGGGGGTGGCCTTCAGGGGCAAGCATTTTGAATGTGCATGCATCTGTGCTTGTAATTTGGTAAGATCTCTCCTTTTCCTTGTAACCAACAGGAAGAGTGACCCGGTCCCAGAAATGACCACTCCTGAGCAATTCTATTCCAAGGTCATGGAGACGCTGAAGTACCTGAACGCCCGCCTGCCGAATGGCAGCCACGTGATCTTGTACGGCTTACCAGACGGGACCTTTCTCTGGGATAATCTGCACAACAGATACCATCCTCTCGGTATGGTTTTGAAGACCCTTTTTCTGTTTATCAATGTCAGTGTACATGCAGTTCCAGTACAGATAGATAGTTCACCTTACGTAGGGATACCCTGAAATGCCATCACATTGCATGGGTCAGCAGGGAAGTACCCCCGGCTGCAGGGTCTCAAGGTCAGGGTCTAGCTGTGGGCAGAACCAGATCCAAAGCCGGAAGGGGAAGAAGTAGTGGGCAAAGAATTCAGACCAATCGAACGGTAAGAGTTTCAGGCAGGAAACTCCTTTCACTGAAGGTGAGATCTAAAAATGAGCTGATGAAGCCCAAATAAGAGACAGAAAGCCTTGAGTCCAAGGAAGGATTTCTCCGAATCTCGGTGGTGAGTGCCCTCTGGTGGCCAGATGGAATTCCGTAGCCTGGCTGGTTCCAGATTCCATACTCGGAGTCTGTTTTGGGCACAGAGATAACATTCCTCCTCTCCAACAAGAAAATTGAATCTATCACTCAGCCTAACTGATGGGAGGCGAAAGTGAGAAATAAGACTGTTCCATCACCTTCGGTCTCTCTCTCCGCTCAGAGATAGGGCCTGTTATTTCCTTTACTTTGTGGAGCGTGAGAGAGTGCTAGTGAGTAAGACACCAGCCATTGCCCCTGAGAGCAGGGGAGCCTGGGTTCTCTGTCTGAGCCACAGCTTGGAAGTGGAGGTGCCTTGGGGGCGGATATGCTGAAGGAGGGAGGGGAGACGTGGGAGAAGAAACAGCCCCCACAGATTCTGCCCCTGCAGCTGACCTTTAGAGGTGACCTTTACATGCGCCTGTCATCTTCACTCATGGTGCCTCTCTAACTTGCACCAAAAAATACTTGTGGGCCATATCTGCTCTTTGGGGCTAAAATAAGCGCCCTGGGCCATGCAGGGATGTGGGGGCTGGCCTCTCCCTTCCGTGGCTGCAGGGCCGTGCGTGGCAGCCTTCAGACACTCGCCCTGCCCTGCCGCCCTCACCAGGGGTCACTGGTCAGACCTGGGATTTCATAAACTGGCTCAGGAGGATTTGTCAACTGCCCCCGAGAGCTCCCGTGCTCCCTGGGGACTTGGCACTTCGTTGCCAGGAGAAAGCCGTGCGGGACCAAGTCCATTGTTGGTGATGCAATGGTCCCTCAGGTGCCCTTGTGTCCCTCCACCTGTGTCCAGAGGCGGCCAGGCTCCTCGGGCCACCCTAGCTGTGCCAGCAGCTCACGGAGAAAGCAAACTCTTAGCCCCCGCCCCCCACTCCAGCTCTGAATGTCAAGGGGGTCCAGAAAGAAAGGAAACATGGGTGTTCCTCAAGAGCCATGCCATCTGGACGTGAGGGCAGGTCCCTGGGCGTGTGCCAGCCAGCCTTCTGCAGGGAGGCAGGGCCAGCCTACGTGTCCCATTGGCTGCCACATCCCAGCCTCGCTGTCTTCCAGGCCAGCTGAACAGGGACGTGACCTACGGGCAGTTGTACGCCTTCCTGAGCTGCCTTCAGGTGAGCTGGCCTGCCTGTCCCGAGGCCCTGCCCCTCACTGCCTTTGTGCCCTGGTAATCACAGAGTCCTCCCCCCCAGGTCAGCCCCTGCTCCGGCTGGATGACAGCCAACGAGACCCTCCAGACACTCACCTCACAGGTAGGACTGGCGCAGCCCCGTGGTAGCGTGTTGGCTCATTCTTGCCCTGCGTTTGCTGCAATGTTTGCACCAGGAATGGGGTTTGGGCAGCATGCTGGCCCTCAAGCTGGTGAACAGAAACACTGAACTTCTGGGGGGCTTGTTGGGGCCAGGGAATGTGCCTCTCCCCTTTCACCTCCTCTGGATCTATCACTCTTACAGTGTCTGTCAGTCACTGTACTGTATGTGTGTGTCTGTCTCTCTCCTATGTACTTACGCGTGTACACACACACACACACACACACACACACACACCTTTGAGAGCCCTTTGGAGGTGTGTTTATAGAGGTGGAGAGAAGTGAGCGAGGTGAGACCTGGTCTGAGTCCCCCCAAGTTCAGGGAGGACCGACACCTCAGAGCCTTCCTCTCCTCTCTATGAGAGCCTGGGGCCCATGCAGCTCTTCCACACGTTAAGATTAGGGTCAAGGTCAGGGTCAGGGTCAGGGTTAGGTTCAGGGCCAGGGTTAGCCTTCTCTTTGTAAGAGACTCATTGAATTCCTTGTACAAATACACTTCCGTTTTTAAAAACCTTGGAGAATGTTAAGAAACTCACCAACAAAAGTAACAAAGTTCACCCCAAATCTCACCGCCCGAAGTCAGTGCGTGTGCGTGTCTTTCCAGTATTGCTTCCATAGGTTGTGCCTACACGGTGTCTGAAAGCACATGTCTGACCTTCATCCACTATCCCTCCACACCCTGACCTTGTGTTTGTGTTAGAGTGTATGACACAGGAACTTGCTGTGATTTATCTCACCCCCTTGGAGCTGGACATACAGGTCGTAGGGGTTTCCAATTGTTCTCTGTGACAAACAGCATTGGGATGGACGTGTGTGTGTGCACGCACGCGCGCGCCATGTCTGTTAAGACACATTTCTAGAAAAATGCCTGGGTCTAAGAGTGAGCTGTGTTTGAGGAGGTGACCCATCTTGCTGAGCTACTCTTAGAAAGGTCAAACAGACCTTTGGCCTTCTGGGTCTCCGATTCCTGGGCGCTAGTCTCCATTGTCACGACTGTTCATCCTGTCCTGGCCGATGCCATGGGGAGAATGGTATCTTATTGCTTTCATTTGCGCCCATTTGGTTCCTAATGAAGCTTAACAGGTTGCATGCGTGTTGGCCGTGTGTGCAGGAAGAGAATTCATGGTGCAGAGCTGCTCCGAGTGCCTCTGAGAGGACGGCTGATCAGGGAGGGAGGATGGGGAGGGAGGGTAGAGACCATCCATTTCTTCGTTCCGTCTGAATCACCCGCTCACTCCAGTCAAGGCCTCGGTTTCATGGAATTCTCCCCATTTCCCTCGCTTTCAGAGAGCAGCACAGCTCTCCAATACACTGAAGAAGATTGCCACCAGCCAGAAATTCACCAGCTTCCATCTGTACTATGTGGATTTTGACTTCCAAGAAAGTGAGTGTTGCTGGGCTTTGGTCATGACACAGACAAGAGCAGCAGCCAGGGAGAGCCGGCCCCGGCAGCTGGAACCCACAGGCAGCAGATTGGACGGGGTCTCCCCTGGTACTCTCACATACTAAGAGCTCCCGCACTGAAATAAGGCGGAGTATGGAAGGGGACGCTCACGCCTGATTTCACTGTCATCTTAGAAACCCTCAAACACAGCCAGCAACCAGGTGGAGAATGGTTAGGCAGGGGCCAGTGGGTCCAGGGGATCACCTTTGTTCTGGCCAGTACGGCAGCATCTGCTTGCCAATGGGCTACAGACAAGTGTGATGGGGACAGGGGCCAAGGCGGTGCCTCCCACCGTGGGCACTGATTTGCCTACTTGGCCACGATGCAGATTCCCAGGCCCCGCACAGAAATAAATGAATCCGAGTTCCTATGGGAATGACCTCAGGTTTGCCTGTGGCGAGATGGACAGCCCGGGTCTCAGCTTCCTAGAAAGGACATTGGTATGTCTCTGCTGCCATTCTGTCCAGACACAGGGGCCCCTGAGGCGTGGCCATGGCAATAGGCATGTTCCTTCACACCTTGACTCTGAAAAATTATTATTATTTTTAAACATACTTTTATTGATTTCAGAGAGGCAAGGAGAGGGAGAGAGAGAGGGAAACATCAATGATGAGAGAGAATCATTGATCAGTAGCCTCCTGCACACGCCCCACTAGGGACCAAGTCTGCAAACTAGGCATGCACGCTGACCGGAAATTGAACCCATGACCTCCTGGTAAATAGGTCAACACTCAACCACTGAGTCATGCCGCCTGGCTGAAAAAAATGATGGTTGACTGGCTTTAATCCTCCCAGCCTCATGTTCATTGCTAAGCAATTGTTGTACAAGAAACACACCTCCATGGATGGACTGACCTCTGGGTAGCGCTAATGGAAAGCTTTGCCATGCATGCACAGGATGGGCCATTCCTCCTCCGGAGGTCTTCCTCTCTGCCTCCCTGCCACCCCACCCAGCCCGAGCAGCCAGGGGAAGCAGATGGCCCTCGTGAATCATCGCACATCACATTAGCTGACACGGGCGGCATTGCGGAGTCTAGTACTTCAACTCTGAGCATCTTCCCAACAAGACTGATGGCCCTTAACTAGATTTCCTGCCTAGGTGATGCCTGTTTCCCTCATGGGGAGAGGCATTTTGATGGATAGCCTTGCATTAAAATGCAGAGCTAATGACTCATTAATGAATTCCTGCTGTAAACAAATATACCACCACGTGCTCTCTGATCATCGTCAACCTTGAACCTAGAGGAAGTTATTAAAAATAGAATCATGTCTAACATGCACAGGGTATGTCCTCACTTTCCGAGGGAGCCTCCACTCTGTGCTTCATTACCTTTGGGGCTACAGGCAGTTCCCTGCACAATTCAGAGACCCGAAAAGGGGCGGCCATATCTGCGGGACACATGTCTGCCATGGTTACAGGAATGTGTGACCTCCTTAAAGCCGGGCCCGGGACACTGCTGGTCCCCAGGAAAGAGTGCCATTTCTTTCCATCACACCTGCTACCCAGCGTGTGGTCTGGGGCTACTTATAAATGCAGAACCCCGCCACACTCCTCATTGGGCCTAGGAGCCTGCATTTTAGCACAGTCTACAGACAATCCCGTGCATGTTAAAATGTAATAAATGAGGCTCTGTAATGCTGCCAGATTAAGATTGTTTGTCAGTGGGGCATCAGGTTTTTGCTATATCCTGCCATGTGCTGTGTAGGTGCTGGGGATAGAGCCCTCAACAAAACAGAACATTCCTTATCTTCATGAAGGGTCTAATCCTGGCCAGCATTGCACTGATGACCTTGATGCTTGTCAGGAGAGGTCATCAGCCCATTCTTGTCCTCAGAACAGCAATAAATGCAGTAACAAAGCAAAAAAAAAAAAAGTTCTCTTATCCCAAACTGAATGTTCTAAACCACATGGCTGCCGGCACTTCACCGAGAAACCTCCCTGTGTCTCTCGGGCTTAGCCATCCTTATCGACAGTTCGAGGGCCTTCCTGTTTTATAATTTCCTCAAAAGCAAATAGGAAGATCCCATCGGGCACAGGGCCTTCCTCGCCTTCCCCACGTGAAGTCCACGCGCACTGCACTGGGGAGGACAGACGGATGCAGTGGGAGGAAAGTGGAGGGAGAGGGACAGGGGCCGGGACTGATGCAGCTGATGCAGCACCTGCATTGCACATCCAGGTGCCCGGTGTTTGCACATCCAGGTGCCTGGAAGAGCTGGAGGTTTTTCTAGTTTCTAGGAACCATAGTAAGAACTTGACTTATGCCCCAGGTTCCACTACTGCAAAGGGAATTTTGACCTTGAAAGCTTAGCATTTTCCAGAACAGGCAGAGGGACCGTCCACTCCTAGACCCGTCTCTGTGGGGAACTACCCACCTGGGCAGCTCACAGCCTGGCCATCTGGTCCACCCCATGGGGGTGAGGGGGTGTGCATGTGCCCTCCAGGAAAAGGCCAGCATTTACACCGGAAAGAACCGTGTGCCTGTCCCAACTTGGACCAGAGGAGCTGCAACCTCAGGCACATGAAATATCCACACAGCTTTTGTCTCCTTTTGAGCAACGTGGCAATAAGGGCAAACGGGACCCAGGTACGGATGAGGGCACCTTGCAACAGAATAGGGACTCAGCAATGAAATAGGGACATCCCCTCCCACCACTCAGCCCCACCCCACCTCGGTCACCTGTGCATGTGAAGCCCCTGTCGCCATCTCCCAGGGCTAATGAGGCCTGGACAACAAATGTGTATTCTCTTTCAATGTCCAGCTCTGTGCCATCACTGATACACAGTGGGCCACGCCGGTCCCTCAGAGGAAGCCATGGTGGAAATGCACCTGTCACTGTGCTCCCCTTTCACGAGACATGAAGACCCACTTATCAAACCTGCAGTCTGCAAGGTCCCAAGAACATCTTTCCTTTCTGTGCTGCACTTGACCTGTGGCATCGTCATATCCTCTTTTTAAATATGAAACTCACCATTCCACACCCGCGACAGAGCAAATCGCACTGGAGGGCCTGCCCCCCAAGGGTGGGCACCCCACCCGGCCCTGAAAGATGGGTGCTTGTCTCCAGAGGCTCTCTGCTCCTGCTGACCCACCCGCCTGACCTGGCCATGAGCTACACAGAGGAAGCAATTTCCCCCGTGGGAAAGGGCAGCTGAGCGGGCAAGGGCCTTATCCGGGTCTGCGCCACACCTCCACTCAGAGGAGGGAAAGTGCCACTGGGCTGGCAAGGCCATTTCCACACTGACTGCTGGAATACGCCGCCCACTACCCTCTGCTTCCATGGCAACGCCTTGGGAGCACACCGTGCCTCAGATCCTGCCATGCACCTACAAAAACAACCCATGACCTCATGGTGCGGACCAGCTTGTGGGTCTCTCTTCTTAAATATCTGAGAGCGTTTTTGGCCATTAAAGAGCCACATGTGTTCTATGAATCTCCTCTCAGGACATCTGTGGCCACTCAGAAAAGCAGGTCATTAGCCTGAAGAGTCCCTCTGACTTCCCAGGTAAAGAAAATACATCTTGTGACAAATCCCGAGAGGTTATTCACGATCGTTCATGAAGAACAAAGAGGGCCTGGCCAGACTCAGTGGTTGAGCATTGACCTATGAACCAGGAGATCACAGTTCAATTCCCAGTCAGGGCACATGTCCATTTTGCAGGCTAAATCCCCAGTAGGGGGCGTGCAGGCAGTAGCCAATCAATGATTTTCTCTTATTATTGATGTTTTTCTCTATCCCTCTAAATGTCAATAAAATACATTTTTTTTAAAAAGGGAGAAGCAAAGAGGGCACAGATCCCTGCCTTTGAGTTTTCTGCAGGCCAAACAGGGAAGAACTGGAGGAACCTTAGCCATGCCTGCGCCCCTCTCTGGACCTCGGGGAGTGAGCACGTGGGCCACTCTGGGGCAGCAGTTCCAGGCTTTTCTCCCAGGAGGCTCTCGAAGAATGTGTTTCCCTCAGGCACTCTCACAGACTATGCTACTACAGTGTAGGGTTCACATACTGTTGCCTCGAGCAGCAGACACTCCGGGCCTGTCACCCCGGTGAAGGACAGCGGTATTGCTTTCCATCACTCGGGTTGTGATGCTGAGATAATCGACATGTTGGACATAATCATATTTCTGACGCCCTGTAGGATCTTTGAGGATGACAGGTTGCCACAGGCAGGCAGGTGTGGAAATGGCAGCCATCAAAGGCAATGTTAGCACATGTGCTCCCTGTCCTGCCTCTGCGATGCTGCCCCTCTGTCCGCTGGGAAATGAGATGGACTGGAATGGGTGCCGAATATTCCAGAGCTCACCTGGCCCCACCACACAACCACCTCCACTGGCACATGTGTTCCTTCTGAGTTAGGAAAACAACAATCACACAGTGGGGAGATCATCTCTGTCCAGAAAACCACATACACACACACACCCTGCCCCCAACACGAGATAACGTCTCATGGGCAGTCCAGGTGGGTGAGCCCGGCTCGGGAGGCAGCGGGCAGCTCTGGCGACGGTCCCTGCTCTAACCCTCTGGCTCTCTGTGTGCCCTGCAGTCGTGAAGAAGTGGCAGAAGAGAGGCGGGCAGCCCTGGCAGCTCCTTGAACCCGTGGATGGATTCCACCCCAATGAGGTGAGCTGACATACCATGGTCATTGGCAACTACCTGTTAGGTTACTTTTTAACGTAATTATGCATTCCACACATGGGTTAGATAAAGAATCAATAAAAGTACAGGGAAAATCAGAGGAAGAGGAAAACAAGGTGGAAATGATACCCGGCCTTTGACTTTATGTCTACAGTTCGCACTCATGTAACGTGTGTGGGGAAGTTCTGAGAGATACCTATTACCTTGCTCTGTGCTTCCCAGGGGTCAGTGCAGAGAGCGGCCTAGTAGGGAAGCTGTCTGCCATTTTCAAAATTTTGAAAGATGAGAGTCCTCCACCACTCTGGTCTTTCTGACTCAGCCTTGGTGAGGATGGGGTGGCAATGACCAGGGCCGACCTGGGAAGTGCTTTTGGTGTCCTCTCCTGTGGCCTTGGCCTTGATGGTCAGCCAGGCCAGGGGGAGGGCCGGCCATCCCCTCAGGAGTGGGAGTCTGCACTCTTCCCCTTCCAGGCGAGGGACTCCGGTGCAGCCCTCCCTGTGGCTTCACTGGTGCCCTTTGGCACATTGGGTTTTCCCACCAGAATGGGAGCTCTTTAAGGAAAGGATCCGATGGGCTCGTCTCCGAAACCCAAGCTCTAGGTGTTACCTGTCCACAGAGAAAGAGACAAGTGGCTTTCTGAGGAATGTGTTTGTTATCTATTACTCAGTCACAAATCGGCACAAGTTCAGTGAAACAATATTCATCTCTTCTCTCACAGCCACTGAGTGAGGAGTGCCTGGCACTGAACAGGGTCTTCTGCTTCGGGTATCGCAGGCTAAAGTCCAGATGTATCACCTGGGCTGCATGCTCATCCAGAGACCCAACCGGGGCAGAGCTGTTTTCAGATTCACGTGGGTTGTGGACAGAATCCACAATTCCCCTGTGAGGTAGGACTGAGGACCGGCTCCAGCTGGATGTCAGCAGGAGGCACCCTCCCCCCCTGCCACCTGGCTTCCTGCTTCACCAGGGCCACAAGGAGGGTCCCCGGTGGCAGAGTGGTTTTACATAATGTTTCGTCCTCACTGAAGTGACCTTTCACCTTTGCCATGTTCTGCTGGTGAGAACCAAGCAATAGGTCCCACCCTCACCAGGGAAGGGATCGTACAAAGCAAAAAATGATGGTAGGAATCCAGAGTGTGTTCCACACGAAGAAGAGAGGGGGTCTTGCTGGTGAAGTCTTTACTGGGTTGTCATTTCCGTTTTGCTCCTCCTCACAGGTGGCGTCACTGCTGCTGGTAGATGGCTTGTGGGACAAGTTGCGGCTGCAATGGCCCCAGGTCCTGGGGAAGGAGAATCCCTTCAACACCCAGATTGAACAGGTGTTTGGAGACCAAGGGGGACACTGAGTCCCCCGGGGACATGGGCTCCCAGAAACAGAAACTTGGGTAAACTCATCCAGCGCATAGTTCCAGGGCTGCTATGTCACAGGCTCACAGGCCTCTCTCTAACAGCCCCTCTGCAGTGCTTTTCTCTCCTCTAGGAGCACATCTGAATGACAGTGTGACTCTCTGAGCTTCTGGGTTCAGTTTCCTGACCACTGATCCTCATACAATCCTATGTAATAAAGAGGTGATATGCAAATTGACTATCACACCCTGTCACAAGATGGCTGCCACAAGCTGGCCTGTGGGGAGGGCAGTAAGGGGCAACCAAGCCATCAAGGGAGGGCAGTTGGAGGTGACCACGCCTGCAGGGGAGGGAAGGCAGTTAGGGGTGGGTGACCAAGCCATCAGGGGAGGACAGGTGGGGACAACTAGGCCTGTAGGGGAGGGCAGCTGGGGGCAATTGGGTTGGCAGGGGAGCAGTTAGGCATTGATCAGGCTGGCATGGGAGTGGTTAGGGGCAATCAGTCAGACAAAAGGCAGGCAGGTGAGTGGTTGGGAGTCAGTAGTCCCAGATTGTGAGAGGGATGTCTGACTGCCGGTTTAGGCCCAATCGGACATCCCCTGAGGGGTCCCAGATTGGAGATGGTGCATGCTGGGCTGAGGGACACCGCCCCCACACATACAGTACACGAATGTCATGCACCAGGCCTCTAGTCTTTAATAAAGAGCTTTGGGCCCAGTCAATGTGGCCCATGAACCAAGATGTCACCAGTTTGATTCCCAGTCAGGGCCCATGCCTGGGTTTCAGGCTCCATCCCCAGAAGGGGGTGTGCAGGAGCATCTGATGGATGTTTCCCTTTCACAGATGTTTCTCTATCCCTCTCTCTTCCTTGCTCTCTAAAATCAATAAAAACAAATTTTTTAATTTTTTTAATTAAAAAGAAAAAGAGCTTTGGGTGCTGTTCCTAGCAAGAGAGCATCTGTGCCCTTGAATGGCTAATTGTGGTAAAAAACAAAACAAAAACAAATAATTATTCCAGCATATTGGGCAACTTCCCCAGGTCTTATGTGCCAGGCTCTGACCCCTCTTGGTTAGGATATAGGACACAAAACACAGTGGCATTTTTCACTGCCTTTGTCAGGAGAGCTGCATCACTCCAGAAAGTTCTTCCAGTCCTCCCCAATTTCCTGCCCTCCAGGCAAACACTTTTTTTTTTTTTTTTTTTTTGTCATTTCTGTTTTGCTCCTCTGCGTTTGTCCGTTTGTCCCGTATACAATCGGTTCTTACTCTTCAGGGCAGTCATTATCTCCAGAGTCGCCTGAACACTCAATTAGCAAGCCCTGACCTCTGCTCCCAGGCTGCCCTAGAAACACAGGTGACATATTCTCCAGCCTCCGGCCACAGCAAGGTCATCAGGCGGTCAATGCACAACCTTGAGAGACACCTTGTTCAGTGCATAGTTGATTGACGAACACTGAACTCGGCCAGCAGCTGGAGACTCACGTGAGAGAACCCTATCCGCTCCCCTGCCTTCTCCCTGAAGCGCCCACCACTACCTGCACGCAAGGACTCAGGCAGCCCTTTGGCGTTGCCCCTGGGTGGCACCGGCACAGTGAAATCAACAAAAAGCGAAGAAGTGCCCAGACCGTGGCAATGAATCTGCCGTGAAAAGGACACTCGTTTCTGAAAGGCAGAGCTTTGCCTCCTTCCCCCTCAGCAGGGGGCCCGCGGTTAAGGGGACAGAACATTTTTACCGCCCAGATGACAGGGTGCCAGCGTGATGATACGGAAGCCCCTGGCTCCGGGATCTTGTCCAGCTTCTGTTCCAGGCTACTGTCTCTTTAAGATGGGAGCAAGCACACCTGTGTCCCAGCACCACCTGATGCTAAGGTGCTGAGAGAGGGCTGGAGGTAGACCCCACCCAGAACTCGCTGATAGTGAGGATTGCTGTGCCTTGAAACACCGTTTGTGGCCATCGGTACTGTCGGTATTAGAGCCTGCACAGAAGAGGCACACGTATGAACATGTGCCCGGGCTTACATATTTCAAAATCCTTGCACCAGGGGGATATTTGCTTTCATCACGACAGGTTTTCCTTGTAATCCTGTTTTATTTTTGTAATTACACTGTCACTGAGAGGGGATCGCAGGCCCCCCCAGCCTGCAGGGCGGGTACCTGAGGCAGGAAGGCACTGGGCTGGGTGGGGCTTGGAGAGGAACTCCAGGGCTAATCAGAGGGGAGACACTGCCCGGAGGCCCTGCTTCCCGGAAAGCCTAGGGCGGGGGGATTTCTGCTGAGAGACTGTCCACTCACCTTCAGTCCCACGTCGGACCGGGGCCGCCTCTGCTCTCGACGGCTGTCAGCAGCCCTGGACCGCGTGCTCCGAGGACTCGCCTTAAGCAACACAGGTTAGAGCATTCGCCTCTGGCGCACCCCTTGGCAGGTCAGGAGAGGGGCTCCCCCTCCTCATTCTGGTGTGAGCCAGGGTCTCCAGAATCCCGGTTCCAACCACGTCTTTTCTGGTGGAACCGCCTGGCAAAGGCGGCGCCTGGCCTGGTGGGCCGCGTGCGCGCTCTCCGATCCGTGTGGCTTCCTTAGAACTCACATCAACATGCCGTTATCGTGTGGGCTTCTCATCAAGTCTGTTTGCCCTGCAGGACGGCGCCCTCTCATGGGACCGCCCAAGGCTCCAGCAGAAGGAGCCACACAAGGCTCTTCCTGCGGTTCCTCTGCTCAGTGAGTGTGGGGGTGGCATGGGGAGCCTGCTCCTGGGCCACTTCCCAAAACCCATCCTCAGAACCTAATGGTCTCAGCCGGAGCCGGCCGTGAAGGAGGCCTGCAGGCCCCAGCCTGAGGGTGGGCAGAGCACAGAGGAGACAAACAGTGGGGGCGCAGGACTTGGTGGGGGTGTGCTCTGGGCGGGCTGGCCGCTTTGTTCCTAGTTAACTGCCCAGAGCATTCCCAGGAGCCCTGGCAGCCTCAGAGCCCTGCAGAGGGAGCTCACAGCTTCACAAAGCTTCAGTCATTACACTGCACAGAGGATGGGTGGGAAGCGCCCCCAGGGTGGGAGGGGCCCCAGGGCGCCCCCAGGGCTTGATGCAGCCTGAGATCAAGGTGGCTTCAGACCCTGAGGCCCTGGTCTCCCCAGGACAGCACCCTCCCTCCCACATGCACCCTTTGCAGGGGCTCCGCAGAGCAGCAGGTACTGATGTTCGTACAGGGGTCTTCAAACTACGGCCCGCGGGCCACAGGTGGCCCGCAGAGAAGTCTGATCGGGCCCGCCAGGTTTTTTGGGCAGTGAGCGCAGCCGAGGTGTTACAGTAGGAATTAGTAGTTCATATAGTCCGGCCCTCCAGATCTCTGAGGGACCGTGATCTGGCCCCCACTTTAAAAAGTTTGAGGACCCCTGTCAGGGACCTCCACGCTGAAGTTCTGCAAATCAGCTGGAGCCCAGACTCGGAGGGGGCTGCTGGGGCAGTGGGGTTGGAGGGAGGAAGTGGAGACTCCACACACGTCACTCTCCAGGGAAGAACAGCTCTGCCCGCTGCCTCCGGGAGCTGGGCACTGGCAGGGCACAGTCAGTGGGATCCCACACAGCAGCTGGCTCCTGCAGGAGCCCCCTGGCTCTGGGATCTTGTCCAGCTTCTGTTCCAGGTTACTCTCTCTTTAAGATGGGAGCTAGCACACTGGTGTCCCAGCACCCCTTGGTGTTAATGGTGCTGAGAGAGGGCTGGAGGTAGACTATCAATTGCACTCACCCCCTGCGTCTCCTGAAGGCCGGTCTGCCATGAGTATCTGCTCTCAGGGAAAGGGGAGCGAAGGCAGAGGGCGACAGGGCAACTTGCTGGGGAGGCACAGCTAAGGCGCCATGAATCAGGAGTTGGAAGCCGGGCAGTCTGGCACCAGGCTCCATGCTGCTAGCCACGGGGCCACCCACCTTATGCAGTAAGATGGTGTTTGCACAACATGGCCTGACCGAGCCACACCTGCCCTCACGCCGTGCTCCCCACACGGCTGGAGTCCACTTAGTCTGCAGAATAAGACCAGGCCTCTCTTAAGCTTACTTTGACCATAGGCTCCCACAATCCCTCTCCTCAGTATAGACCCAAAAGAGCTGAAGACGTGTGTCCACACAAAAGCTTACACAGGATTATCTACAACCTCTTAGCAATCACCCAGACTTGGAGCAACCAGGATACTGTTAGATGTCCATCCAAAAACAAAGGTAAACACACGAAATGCTACTCAGTGACACAAAAGACGCCACTACTACACACAACAAGCGTGACACAAAAGAGCATATTCTGTATAATTATATGCAATTTTATGAGTCAAGCCAATCTATGATGAAAAACAATTTTTAATGTTAAGGGCAGGAAACTGGGGAGGACTAGAACTTTCTGGAGTGATGGAGGTATCCTGATGAAGGCTTGGCTTACACAGATGTGCACACTTATGAAAACTCGTGGAAGAACCCTGGCTGCTCAATGGGTTGGGTGGCGCCAAGTGCACCAAAAGGTGGCTGGTTCAATTCCTGGTCAGGGCCATGCCTGGGTTGCAGGCTTGATCCCCAGTGGATCAGCTTGTAGGAAGCAGCTTTTTCATATTTTTTTTTTCCTCTCTCTCCCTCTCCCTTCCTCTAAAATCAATAAAAATTAAAAATAAAAACATTAAAAAACATATTTTTTAGAAAGCTGATGGAATGAAAACATTTAAAATTTGTGCACTTTGTTGTAAATTTTATGGACAGGTGGGCAGCTGGGTGTGTGACTACATGAACGCCTGTATCTGCTATTTTTATAAAAATAAGTTGGGGGGGGGGGCGGCGAGTACCTTAAGCATGACATATAAATATAGGCACGCCTATGATGAATCATTTTTCTAACAAATCTTGAAAGTCTATAAAAGTCACTGGAAGAATCTATTAAAATGTTCCCCCATGTCTTGTGCCCTGTAATCTTTTTACAGGCATATAAAAAGAATTTTATGTCCATGCAATTGCTAAGCCACTGGTTTCATTACAAGAAAGAAACATCAGGGTAAAAAAACCCCTAAAACTGTAAGCTCCTAAACTTTGGGATACACATAATATTATAATCTGTGTGTAAGGGAAAGTCATAAAGGAAAGGAGAAATGGATAAAAAAGATAATTAGGATGCGAAATAGATAGGAACACGGCTCATGAATTACCTTGAAAGTACAATTTAAAAATATAATTATCTTGATTCATTCCCATCCTGAGGAAATGTACGTGTAAAC